ACTGATTTAGAGTTTTCTCTTCCTTATTTTTTAATGTGATATATTAGAATCTCTTTTCCACTCACATCTTTCAGAAGTGGTGCCAATAATGTAGAGGACAATAAATTATTCAAAGTGGGAAAGCCATACAGCAAACAGGAAAGCTCGCAGTTTATTAAAGATAGCTGTGCACAAAGGCACATTTGCCAGTGATGTCGACGACGAATCAGGAATGATATATGACCTTTCTCACATGCCTGCAACATTTAATATCCTTGAAAGACATTAAAGATGCCAAATATTTAGACCACAATCTGAACGGCAGTGAAAATCTAGCATCACTGTTTACAAACAGGCTAGAGCTTGGTTACAATTACCTGTGCGTGTCTTTTCCTAAAGGGTAAACATCTTTCATATATTTGTTTGCTAATGTACTTTGCCTTGCAAAATAGTTCTGATCCTGAGGTGGTGTTTGTTAATCCAACCCCACTTTACCATAAAGTAGAATGATCATTTCAGAGGCAGTTTACTTCATTTATGTTCAATTTCCAGTTCATGTAGACTCTCATCATTTACATTTGTTTGTCTCCTTACCCTGCCCTGTGTTTAATATTGAATGATTTATAAGCAGCTATTTTAAAGCACAGAAGAAACAGTTTTTTAAGTAGGTAATGGCGAATTCTTTTTGAAAGTAAAATGTCACTTTCCTAATTCTTTCACTTTAAAAATTGTATTCTGGCTTATTCTAATCTTTCATTGTAATTAATTTTTTAAATTAAATGTATAAAATAAAAGACAAAGTGGCATAATGAATGCCTTGTCCCTATCACCTAATTTCAACAATTATCAATCATAATCATGTTTCATCCAATATTACTTAGTTTTAATTTGGCAGCAAAGTCTAGATACACTATTATATCATTTAATCCATAACTTTCTCAGGAATTCTGAAGGATAAGGACATTTTAAAAGCATAATGATGTTACTATAATTATACACAAGAACATTCAAGATGTGAATGTTATCAAATATCAGCAGTATTTATACTTTCCTAATTGTCTTGTACTTTTTAGCTATTTGTTTGAATTAGTATCTATATTACATCCCATCCTTGTAATTCCTTGATATGTCTCCTGAAAATATGTTATTATTTCCTCCTTATCTCTTCCTTATTTTACTTTTAAACTATTCTTATTAACGTATGTTTCAAGTCCATAACAATTACATTTATCATTTGGATATGGAACATAAACACAGCTCATCTTCATTCCTTTCATGTCCTCTCTCCCCCTGTCCCTCCCTCTTTCTTTCTCTCTTTTCTTTTCTTTTTTTTAAAAAAATTTCTATTATTTCACTGGGGAAAGAATCTGGGTTATTTGACTTGCAAAGTTTCCTGAAGTCAGGGCCAGCCCGATAGCTCAGCAAACTGTTCCAACTGAAGAATGAGACTGGTTGTGGTGGTGTGCACCTGTACTCCTAGCACGTGGGAGGCTGAAAACATAAAGATCATTACGAGTCCGATCTGTGTAGTGAGACCCTATAGACCCTATACTAAATACATTTTAAAAAGTTTCACTGTTGGAATGCACGTGGTATAATTTAACTTCCTCAACTATTTCCTGTGTTAGTGGTAACTAGGTATAGAGGATTCACTGTATCTGTAACAGAAAATGGCCACTCACACCCCCAAGCTAGCATACTTCAATTTCTTAGTTGCCCAGGTAATATTTCCTGCTCCTATTCTGGTTGTTTCTTTCTTTCAGAAATGGCTTATCACTGTGGTGCATAGCTCGTCACTATGATGCACGTTGCATAAACCAATCCCCAATTGACAAGCCATATACTTCCTGCTTGCTTATCGCATATAAGCCCTGGACCACCAGAGATCAGGGCCTGATATTCTCCAGATGGTCCCAACCGGTGTCCATAGATGTCAAAGTAAAAAAATCTGCCTCCAAATCCTGGGTATGGTTTCAGTGTTTCTGCTTGTCTTTGCATCTGGCACATTGGCCAGGAAGACTGACCTTGCTGACCTCTTTGATCAGTCATGGCCCTTGTGGACAAAGCAAGGACCTCTTCAGGTCTTGATGGGAGAGAATGTCCTCAAGATTTCTTGAGTCACCTTGAATGCCTGGAGGAGGATTTCTGGCTTCCCACTCAAATGGCTCATATTACATCCCAAAGGGAGGAGGATACTGTCTGTCTGTCTGCTTGCCTGTCTGCCTGCCTGTCTATTCCAGTAAGACTCCCAGGGATACCCTAGTTTAGTCAGTCCGCTAGCTCTGCTCAGTTTGGGTAGAAGGACAGCTTGATCCACTCTTGTTAGTTAAGACCTCCCTGAAGGGTGCCCGATGAATAAGAGTATGTGTGAGTGGAATGGACAGCATAAGTAATACACTGCTTCATGTGTGCATCAAGACTGGGAAACCCCGCTCATGGTGACTGAGTGGGCTCACACCTGCAGTTCCTTGGCAATCAACACATGGCATAATGGAGGTCTCATACCCTCCTTAGCTAAGTTGTGCTTAAAGTCCCAGAAGGGCATGACCAGGCAGGCATTCTAATGGTCTCTCTCTCTCTCTCTCTCTCTCTCTCTCTCTCTCTCTCTCTCTCTCCCTCTC